CATCTCACTCTGCCACGCTGGTGACATCACTCCCATTCTTGAGATAAATTGTACTTGATCAAATGTGTCTTTTAAAATATTCTGTTGACCCATTAGCTAATATTTTATTTGGAAATTTTTTTCATCTACATTTCATAAATGAAATGAGTCTAAATTTTCTTTTCTTATACTCATCTACTTGGTTTTAGAATCAGGATTACACTAGGCTCATAAAATAGACTGAGTAAACATCATTCTTTTTCCAATGACTGGAAACAATTCGATAAGGTAGTTATTAACTGTTTCTTGGAAGTTTCGTAGAATTCACCTATAAAATTATTGAGGCCTGAGGATTTTTGGTAGGGAAAATCTTTGGATACCATAGCAATTTTATATATCCTTGGAATTTTTTTCACTTCATGTAAATTTTCCTATTTATTAGCATATTGTTCATAACACTCTCACTTAAAAAATTTTTTGGTTACCTTATCTTCCCTTTTTAATTCTGCATTTTGTTTATTTTCCCTTTTTTTCTGATCAGTCTCGTCAAAGATATATCTATTACCTTTGTAAAGAATCAAATTCTAGTTTTGTTCGTCTTTTCTGTTGGGGTTTTTGGTGTGTGTATGTGTGGGGGAAGATTCTCTGCTTATTAATTTCTGTTTTTTGTCTTCCTTGTTTCTTTATTCTTCTGCTTTTTTCATTTCATTGAATTTTTAGTTTATTTTTGCCCTTTATCATTTCATGATAAATTACTTAAAGCGATACATTTACTTCTTAGTTCTGCTTGAGCTGTGTCCCACAGATTTTCATTCATGCTGTTTTTATCATTCACTTTTAAATATTTCTCAATTTTATTTATGATTTCCTTTTAACCCAAGATTAACTTAATAATATGCTATTTGGTTTCTGAATGTGTGCTAATTTTGGCTATTATTTTGTTATTAACTTCTAATTTCATCGTATTATGTTTGAGGAATGTAGACTGTGTGATATTGAGCCGTTTGAATTTATTAAGGCTTCCTTTACAGCCATTCTCATGGTTTCTCTTTGGAAGTGTTCTTTTTGGTTTCTTGAACAGTTCTATGTTCTCTATTTGTTCGATATAGAGTTCTACTCTGTATTTCTAATACCTTGAGCTTTTTTAAAATATTTAAAATTTATTTTAATTTTTTTTTTTTTGAGGAAGATTCGCCCTGAGCTAACTTCTGCCAATCCTCCTCTTTTTACTGAGGAAGACTGGCCCTCAGCTAACATCCATGCCCATCTTCCTCTACTTTTATATGTGGGATGCCTGCCACAGCATGGCTTGACAAGTGGTATGTAGGTCCACACCCGGGATCCAAACCAACAAACCCCAGTTGACCAGAGCAGGATGTGCGAACTTAACCGCTGCGTCACTGGGCCGGCCCCTAGCTTGAGCTTTTTAGTTGTACTGTGCAAGTGTTCTGTATCTCTACTTGTTTTTGTTTTTTGTTCTTTTTGTCTGCTTGATCTATCAATTTCTAACTAGAGTGTTAAAATATCCATGTGTTCTTTTTCTTGCTGCAGTTTTGCTACAAGCGAGCACATCAAGCAGGATATATTTTGATACTGAATTGTAAAATTCCTATATGTCTATGATGTGTATATCTTCTCATCTTATTGTTCTTTGCCACTTAATTCTATTTTGTCAGATATTGAGAATGCTACCCCAGGTTTGTTTGGGTTCATATTTGCCTAGTATATGTTTTCTATCCTTTTATTTTCAACTTCTTTATGTCTGTTTATTTTACATGTATTTCTTCTAGACTAAATATTGTTGAGTCTTTCATTTTATTTATTTTTTATTTTTATTTTTTTTGGATGTACATCATATTTCAAATTCTGTATACATTACATCATGTTCACCACTCGAACACTAATTATAGTGCATCCCCTCACATGTGACCCTAATCACCCCTTTTGCCCTCCCCCCTTCCCCAGTGGTAACCACTAGTCCAATCTCCAATGCTATGTGGTTTTTTTTTTTGTCATTTTTATCATCTACATATGAGTGAGATCATATGGTATTTGACTTTCTCCCTCTGACTTATTTCACTCAGCATAATACCCTCAAGGTCCATCCATGTTGTCACAAATGGCTGGATTTCGTCCTTTCTTATGGCTGAGTAGTAGTCCATCGTGTATAAATACCACATCTTCTTTATCCATTCGTCCCTTGATGGGCACCTAGGTTGCTTCCAAGTCTTGGCTATTGTGTATAATGCCGCAATGAACATAGAAGTGCAAGTATCTTTATGCCTTTGTGTTTTCAAGTTCTTTGGATGAATACCCAGCAGTGGAATAGCTGGATCATATGGTAGATCTATCCTTAATTTTCTGAGGATACTCCATACTGCTTTCCATAGTGGCTGCACCAGTTTGCACTGCCACCGGCAGTGAACAAGGGTTCTCTTCTCTCCACACCCTCTCCAACATTTGTTGTTTCCTGTCTTGTTAATTATAGCCATTCTGACCGGAGTGAGGTGATACCTCATTGTAGTTTTGATTTGCGTTTCCCTGATAGCTAATGATGTTGAGCATCTTTTCATATGCCTATCTCCCAATTGTTAGGTTGTCTTTTCATTTTGTTGATGGTTTCCTTTGCTGTGCAGAAGCTTTTTGGTTTGATGTAGTCCCATTTGTTCATTTTTTCTTTTGTTTCCTTGCCCAGTCAGACATGGGACTTGAAAATATGCTGCTCAGACCAATGTCATAGAGTGTACTGCCTATGTTTTCTTCTAGAAGTCTCATGGTTTCGGGTCTTATATTCAAGTCTTTAATCCTTATTGAGTTAATTTTTGTGCATAGTGTAAGGGAATGGTCTAATTTCATCCTTTTGCATGTGGCTGTCCAGTTTTCCCAACACCATTTATTGAAGAGACTCTCCTTTCTCCATCGTATGCTCTTGGCTCCCTTGTCAAATATTAGCTGTCCATAAACGTGTAGGTTTACTTCTGTGCTCTCAATTTTGTTCCATTGATCTGTGTGTCTGTTTTTGTGCCAGTACCATGCTGTTTTGGTTACTATGGCTTTGTAGTATAATTTGAAATCGGGGAGTGTGATACCTCCAGCTTTGTTCTTTTTTCTCAGGAATCCTTTGGCTATTCGGGGTCTTTTGTTGTTCCATATAAATTTTAGGATTCTGTGTTCTATTTCTGTAAAAATGTTGTTTGAACTTTGATAGGGATTGCGTTGAATCTATAGATTGCTTTAGGAAGTATGGACATTTTAACAATGTTAATTCTTCCAATCCAAGACCATGGAATATCTTTCCATTTCTTTCTGTCTTCTTTGATTTCTTTCGACAATGTCTTATAAATTCTTAGAAACATACAACCTTCCAAAACTGGACCAAGAAGATGTAGAAAATTTGAATAGACTGATCACCAGTAAGGAGGTCAAAACAGCGATTAAAAACCTCCCAAAAAATAAAAGCCCAGGACCAGATGGCTTCCCTGGTGAATTCTACCAAACATTCAAAGAAGACCTAATACCTATCCTCCTCAAACTCTTCCAAAAAATTGAAGAGGAGGGGAGGCTTCCTAACTCCTTCTACGAAGCAAACATTATCCTCATACCAAAACCAGACAAGGACAACACAAAAAAAGAAAATTACAGGCCAATATCACTGATGAACATCCATGCAAAAATACACAACAAAATAGTAGCAAATCGAATACAACAATACATTAAAAAGATCATACATCATGATCAAGTGGTTTCATTCCGGGGATGCAGGGATGGTTCAACACCTGCAAATCTATCAACGTGATACACCACATTAACAAAATGAAGAATAAAAATCACATGATCATCTCAATAGATGCAGAGAAAGCATTTGACAAGATACAGCATCCATTTATGATAAAAACTCTAAATAAAATGGGTATAGAAGGAAAATACCTCAACATAATAAAGGCCATATATGACAAACCCACAGCAAATATCATTCTCAATGGAGAAACACTGAAAGCTATCCCTCTAAGAACAGGAACCAGACAAGGATGCCCACTGTCACCACTCTTATTTAACATAGTATTGGAAGTCCTAACCAGAGCAATCAGGCAAGAAAAAGAAATAAAAGGGATCCACATTGGAAAAGAAGAAGTGAAACTATCACTCTTTGCAGACAACATGATTTTATATTTAGAAAACCCTAAACAATACACTAAAAAACTTTTAGAAATAATAAAGGAATACAGTCAAGTTGCGGGACACAAAATCAATGTACAAAAATCAGTTGCGTTTCTATACACTAACAACGAAGTAGCAGAAAGAGAAATTAAGAATACAATCCCATTTACAATTGCAACAAAAAGAATAAGATACCCAGGAATAAACTTAAAGAAAGAGGTGAAAGATCTGTACACTGAAAACTATAAGAGTCTTTTGTTTTAATCCAGTATGTAAGTCTCTTGTTTAATTGGTAAGCTTAATTCATCTACATTTGTTGTAATTATTCTTACATTGGAACTTACATCTGGCATTTCATTTTATACTTTCCATTTATGGTACTCTCTTTTTGTTTTTTGGGGTTTTTTCCTTTTCTACTTTCCACTGGATAGATCAAGTTTTCTCCTGCTTAATAGCAAGTTATATATTCTATTTTCTTTCCCTTTAAGATCTAAACTCATTTTGTTTACTCCTATTGATTTTTTACACATACAATGACTGCAGCTTCCTCCAACAAGATAAGTACTTCAGCAGGGTCTTATGTCCTGTTTATCTTCCACCCACACCTACCCCATCATGGTAATATCATCCAGAATTTTAATCCTTCCTAGAATCCGTGTTTCCTTCTCACTTTTGTAGTTTCTCCAGGGCTGATTTAGGAAAAGGGAACACAGATCGTACTAGTTTGCAAGCTTGGCAGGAAGTGGAAAGCCTCCAAGAAATTTTGTAGCAAATTAACAGCATTTATATTGCTTTGACTTATCCGACTTTAATCACAGGTGGGGAGTTGATAACTTAATCAGTATTTTTTCCCTAAATAACAGGTAGAAAACGTGAAATTGCTGGATCGTTATGTGGGTAAGAAACCAGCTAATGGGATTCTGTATCTTACTGCAACCCACCTGATCTATGTGGAGGCTTCTGGTGCAGCCCGGAAAGAAACATGGGTATGTTCAAGAGAAGAAATATCAAATGGTCTTGAAGGGTTGTGTATACATGCTTTCTAATATGGTGGTTTCTTGCGATTTCAAGTAACAATTAAATTTCTATAAAACCTTTTCTTCAAAGAACCTATTCTAAGAGTCTTTTTATAGATTCGTTCATATTACTCCTTGTCCCTCAAGTTATCGACTATAGGCATCTTAGTCATTTTAAACTACATGGGACTTTTCCTCAATATTCTTGGGTAGAGTAGTCTCTGTTCATTTTCTGAGCCTAGTTTTTAAGCATCCTAAAGTAATTTAAAACCTTGCTACCCATGAAATGTTGTCCAAATAACTAGCAGCATCTGTATCACCTGGGAGCTTGTTAAAAATGCAGAATCTCAGGCCTAAGATTTTAAATTTCTGTAAAGCTCTCAGGTGGTGCTGATAGCCCATGGACTACACCTTGTGTATTGATGATTTAGACTATCTCTAAGACAGGGTGTGTTTTGTGTGTGTGTGTTTCTTGTTACCCCTTTAAACAATGTTTTCTAATTAGGTTAGCACCCCTAATGTTACTTTATGCCTTCCCTGTCCTAAAGTAGCATCATTCAATCGTACCTTAATTATTACTCAGATTTATGCTTCTGGTATACAGCATAGCATAGTGATTAAGGTCACAGGCTCTAGAGCCAGCCTGTTCAGGGCAAAGTCCCAGCTTCAACATTTACTGCCTTTGTAAGCTTGGGCAACTCATTTGACTTCTGTGTATCTCAATTCCCTCATCTGTAAAATAGGGATAATAATAACACCTTGTTATGAGAATTAAAAGTTAATGTTAAGTATTTAAAACAGTGCCTGGCACATGATAAATACTATTATATAAGTATAAAATAAGTTAAACAATATACATATGGAAGAAGTATTTTAATACATCCTTTTTAAAATAACATGAGCTTTCCCCATATGAGATTGTATCTTACTCCCTTTGGTGCGACGAAAGGAATGCCAAAAGAGGATTCAGGAGACCTAGTGCTAGCTAGACTCAGCTGTGCACTAACTGGCTTTATGACCTCGAGCAAGTGACTCTTGCTCTCTGCGCTTCAATTTCCTCATCTGTAAAACGAGGTGTTTAGATTATATAATTTGTAAGGACTCTTCCATTTCTCACAGTTTAGGAACCAGTTCTTTAGTACTATGTCATGAACCTTTCTCATTTCTACTTGTGTTCATAGACAGCACACATATCCCCAGATTTGTTCCTACTGGGTGTTATTTCAAACCCAGCAGATTAGATCTGCAAGAGAAAACTTATTTTAATTATATTGACATGTCAAAGGAGGCTTATTTACCCAATTAGTGCTATTAATGAAGTTCTTCATAAACTTAGTCTGCTTCACTTGCCCCCTCATCCCAATTCACCAATTTTTTGCCTGGCATCTGATCTTGATGATCAGTGTTTTACTACATAAACACAGATCTCCCATGTTGATCAACAGGGCTTTGATTCTCTTGAAATTTGATATATTGATTCTTATTACATTATCATTTGTGGTCCTTCCAAAGCTGCCATGGCAGGAATTGAGTTTGGCAAAACAATTAAGACAGAAATTAAGATGGACAATCCCTGCTAGGAATGTATAAATGGTTTCCACACCTGCCCTGTTCTTAGATGGTGGATATGATTGAAAGGCTTCCTGGAAGCAATGTTTTTTCTAAATATAGTGGGGCTGGAGCATGGAGTATGTGGAGTGGAGGAAAAGAAAAGACAATGGTGATTGGAAGGCCATTCCAGGCACAGGACAGGGAGTCCAGAGAATGAAAAGAGAATATCCAGGCTCTAGTTGCAGGAAACATCAGAGACACAGATGGTAGGAGAATATCAAAGACTAAAATGTAAAACCATGATTCCATGGCTCTTTGACTCTATAAAGAGAGAATTGTTTTATTTGGATACAGTTTATTTTGCCAGTTCCTTTCCATGCATTTCTTTTTTGCTGGCATCAGCATGGACAGGAGTGGTGAGACTAAAGATTTAATCATCCTTCATTCTTTGCTTTACTGTCACTGGAGTATAAAATGTGGGGGAGAAATTTTCCCTCTAAGATTTCTAATTAAGTCCTAATTCCAGGACTAGAGTTTTTAGAATTCTTGAGAATGAACTCTGGACTTGAAGTTAGACTGCTATGGTTCCAATCCTGTTTGTGCCACTTCTTGGCTGTATGACCCCTGATGAGGAATGCACTTCTCAGAACTTTGGTTTCTTTATTCCTGAAATGGGATGATTATACCTCAAAAGGGTTATTACAGGGATCATAGACCATCTTGCAAACAATAAAGCACAATACCAATTAATAATAATTCTAACTAGTAATTTGGTAGAATGAAAGGAAGTTCTATTTTCCTCTGTGACAATTATTCTGCTATGATTGTAAACTCCAACACAGCATGCTAGAAGTCATCTGTTGTGAGCTGGTTCACCACAAACCTGTTAATCTTATATCCTTAAGAAGAGAGAAGTTTTTTAACAGTGCAGTTTGCTTCTCATTGCTTTACGACTATTTACTTCTGTTTAAGAGAAACCTAGTTATACCTTACAAAAGATGGCTGTACGCCATAGATGTAATCACATCTCTGTCTATGCTGTTATCATTACTGAGACTCAGGCACACTGATAGTGACAGAACTAGTGCATGTCTATGAATTTATTTTGGTTCTTCTCTGTTTTGTAGATTGCACTGCATCACATTGACACTGTGGAGAAGTTGCCTATCACTAGCCTGGGCTGTCCCCTGATTCTCCACTGCAAGAACTTCCGGGTGGCCCACTTTGTCTTAGACTCCGACGTTGTGTGCCATGAGGTTTATATTTCACTGCTCAAGCTTTCTCAGCCAGGTAGTTATGATAGTATTTTTATCTAAAACCATTTTAATTGTTTTTTCCCAGAATCGCATAATGGAAAGATCATGGACTATGAAGTTAAACAGCAGAGTTTGAATCTGGGCTCTGCCACTTACCAGCTGCATGGTATTTAGGCAAATTATATAAACCTCTGAGCTCAGCTTATTCACCTGTAAAAGTAGTGATAGTACAAGCTCCCCACAGGGGTTGTTTTGAGGCTTAAATGCATTTGTGAATTTTACTTTGTACTTGGTTTATAGTAGATGTTTAATAGATGTTTTTTCCTTCTCTCTCCTTCCCTCCTTTTATGCATCAACTTGTAAATTTTTTATCAGTCCAGGAAGGACCGCTACTTTGGAGCAAAATTTGTTTCCTGTTGTCCTGAAATCATTATGTTTGGCCCACTGTTCCAACCCCTACCTTCAGTTCTAACTAGAAGACTTAGGGCAGCTCATCAGACTCCTTAATAATGCACTTATCCATGCCTCCTCCAGCCTCACCCTCTCATCCTCCAACCCTACCTCTAAGTGACTAACCTGTCAGCTTCCTCTGATTTAAGTCTGTGGAATTTCCATGCTCTTATGTTTTCCCTCCCATTTTCTTCCATCCTTTCCTCAGAAGAATTCCTTAGAATTTGCTGTTATTTTATTGACAGAGGTTACTTGTCAGCCAGCCTGATACTTTATAAGTCTCTGGCAGACTCTATTCATCTCTGGAAAAGTTGTTGCCACATAATTTGGTCAAATGAGTTATTGCTTGCATGTTGCATCTTGTGAAGAGAGAAAATGGGGTTGACAGGAAGAAGAGAAGAAATGGCCATTTATCAGCCAGAAGCAGGTATTGGCCTGACAAGTACAATGCAAAAAACACTGTTAATGTTTTGCAGTGTGTTACAACAAACAGTGCAATTATCACATTGAAGCTCAGTTAAAAACTTTTGGTAAGGACTACTTTCCCACATGTGAAACCCTGAAGCTTCAGTTCAGTCCGTGATCCAGCAATTCACAGGAAGCCAGGCAGAATGTTCCTGCTTTGTATTGGTATCACAAAAAATTAAAAACATTTTTAAAAGAAGACTGAAGCAATATACCAGTTCTTATTCCTTACATAAAGTCAACTTGGTACACAAATCATTGTCCTTTTCTGGGGCTGTTTGAGAAACATTCCCTTCGGGAGAAGGAAATCTAGCCTATTTTTTTGTATTATCTCTTGTTCTTTAAGTTTTACTCATTATTACTTTATTTTCATGCCTATCTCTCTTCTCCAGCATTACCCGAAGATCTATATGCTTTTTCTTATAATCCCAAATCCTCAAAAGAGATGAGGGAAAATGGATGGAAAATGATTGACCCAATATCAGACTTTGGGCGTATGGGAATACCCAATAGATACTGGACCATAACAGATGCCAACAAAAACTATGAGGTAATTTTGTCATTGTTGTTTTCCTTTTGGTTCATTTAATTAAAACAGAAGAATATCGGGGCTGGCCCTGTGGCCGAGTGGTTAAGTTCGCGCGCTCCGCTGCAGGCGGCCCAGTGTTTCGTTGGTTCGAATCCTGGGTGCGGACATGGCACTGCTCGTCAGACCACGCTGAGGCAGCGTCCCACATGCCACAACCAGAAGGACCCACAACGAAGAATAGACAACTATGTACTGGGGGGCTTTGGGGAGAAAAAGGAAAAAAAAAAAAATCTTTAAAACAGAAGAATATCAGAAAACAAGGTTTTGAAAAAAGAAGAAATCTCTCATAATCTCTCCTTTTCATTCAACATTCAGCCATTCAATGAGCATTTATGAAGTACCCACTGCACTCAAGATGCTGAGTCAGAGTTCTCATAGTCTAAATCATAGGGTGCTATGGGAGCATAGATGAGTATGTGGAATTCAGACTGGAAAGCCAGAAACAGCTTGATGCTTTGGTGAATAGCATGAAGAAGGAAATCTGTCCTAATTTATATAGAGAGAGAAGGAAGTAGGTTAGGAAGTAAAGCCAGATCATGAAGGGCTTCTTGGCAAAATTAAGGAATTTGAACATTATCCTGAAGACAGTTAGGAGCCACTAGAGTATTTTAAGCTGGAAAGGAATGTGGGTATATTTGTATTGTAGAAAATAACTTTGGTATTGGTGTGGAGAATTGGTTTGCTGTAGCTAAGAATGCAGGAGAATGATTTGAGAAATGATGAGAACCTGAACCAACGCAATGACTATGGATGGGGAGGAGATGGTTTTAAGAGATATTTAGGTGGTAGAATTGCCAAAACCTGGTGACAGATTAATGTGGCTAGGAGAAAAAGGGAAGTTTAGTATGCATCCCAGGTTTCCTGGTTTCTGGCTTAGCTGCCCAAGTGGGTAATGGATATGTTAGCCAAGATGTAAGGGGCACAGGAAGAGGGAATGTCAGTGTCTTCAGTTTTAGACTTGAGTTCAAGTTGATTAAAAAGATACCAAATATTTGATATCAAGCGTTTGAGTCTGGATCTCAAGAAAGAGCTCTGGGAATGTGTTGGGGGTCCCCAAGACCATCTCTCAGGTTCAGTGATTCACTAGGAGAACTCACAGGACTTGGCATAAAGTTGTACTTGTGGCTGTGATTTATTACAGTGAAAAGATACAAAGCAAAATCAGCAAAGGGAAAAGGGGCAAAGTCCGGAGAAAACCGGACGCAAGCTTCAGAGCCCTCTGCCAGTGGAGTAACATAGGACGTGCTTAATTCCTCTAGCAACAAGTTGTGACAACATGTGGAAAATGTTGTCTACTAGGGAAGCTCATTGGAGAATCAGTGCCCAGGATTTTTATTGGGGGCTGGTCACATAGGCACTCTGCCTAGTGTGTACCAAAGTTCCAGATGACCAGAAGGAAAGCAGGTGTTCAGAATAAATCACATTATTTGCACAAAAAGTTGAGGCACAATGAGTTACTCTTACCAGTTAGGGAATGGTGGGAACCCTCAAAAATCCAAGATCCAAAACACCAGCCAAGGGCCAACTTTGCAAGCAGACCTTTCTAAGGATGGCAGTCAGGCCTGCTATGATAACTTTTCTGCATAGGGAGTCATTGGTGTTTAAGTGGTATCTCTGAATTATTGGATCTTTATTTCCAGGTTTTACTGTCATCAAAAGACAGCCATTGTAATGGCTTTCTGGTAACACAGTTTGAATAGCCACTAGATATGAGGGTTGATGAGCTGTCATTTAGCAGGACCAACTGTGAGGTAGCTTGTTAGCATCAGACTTGACAGGAATGAGTAGAGACAAGGTGAATTCTTTCCAGTTCAAATATGTGTCTAAGTCCCCCAAGTGAGGTCTGATATATCTCTGTTGGCATCTTGGATGCACATAGCCTTCTGAGTTTAAAAGGAAGCTCCATGTATTTCTCTTTGTATGACCAGCTTGGCCAAAGTCTAAGCCAAGTAAGGGGATGGGTAGAGAACGTTATCTTTTTCAAATGTTTGGTGTTCTTAGGACATTGACACTTTTTTCTTTTCTTTTTTCTTTTTTTTTTTTTTTTTGCTGAGGAAGATTTGCCCTGAGCTAACATCTGTTGCCAATTTTCCTCTTTTTGTACGTGAGCCACTGCCACAGCATGGCCACAGAGGAGTGGTGTAGGTTTGCCCCAGGGAACTGAATCTGGGCTGCCAAAGCAAAGCGCGCTGAACTTAACCACTAGGCCACCAGAGCTGGCCTCTGAGGACATTGACTTTAGTGAGTTATGTAGAGCATTCTTGATCTGATCCACCTCTAATATTTTTTGCCTATTCACTTTTTTATTTGATCCATCATCAAATGTTTAAGAGTGTTCTTTACTTATTGGAGTGATTAGAAATATTTTGGCAATGTTAAGTCCATACTGTTATAATATTTTGTCATTATCTCTTTGGAAAGATAGATTTTGATAACCACTAAAAGCTGATAAATTTAAGAAACTGTATCAGTCTTTTTATAGAGTAAGTAACAACTAAAATGTCAATACCTCCACCTCTAGACTAGTATTTTAAATATCCTCAGGATGTGCATACTTGAAACCCAGTATGCATTTTAAGAAAGATTAATCATGTTTCCTCCTTCTCCACCTCTGCCTTACGTTTGAGTCTATTTGTTTTAATTTACTTGTTTGCAATATACATTGTTAATTCTGATAGGCAAGTGTAGGAATTTCAGAGTAAGGATAGACATATGTTTCTACTTATAATGTTAGTTATTCTAAAGGTATATTTTGTTCTTGTATGTCTCACTATTTTCCTTTCTAGGAAATAGTACCATGCTTAGAAAATCTTTTATGCATCAAGGATATTTTGTTCCTGTTTCTGAGGAATGGATGATTCTAAATGATAAATACCAGACAGCTAATGTTTGAGTGATTGCTATTCTAACCTGTTGCTGGCAAGTGAAAAATGTAAAAAAAAATGAGTTTAAAAAGTGAGTTTATTTTCTTTTAGATATGCAGTACCTACCCTCCTGAAATAGTGGTTCCTAAATCTGTTACCTTGGGAACGGTGGTTGGAAGTTCGAAGTTCAGAAGTAAAGAACGTGTACCTGTGCTCTCCTACCTCTACAAAGAGAACAATGTGAGTTGAGCAGACTTCTCTTATGAGAACTAAACCTGGCTCTAGAAGACCTGGGTTTAAGTCCCACCACTGCCACTTCCTAGCTGTGTGACCTCAAGCAAGTTACTTCTCTGAACTGTAGTACTTCTGAGGGTTTTTAACTGGGTCATGTGACGGAAAAATATATGTGGACTTTGTAAATTGGGAAGTATTGTGCAGATGCGAAGTGACATTTTTAGTGTGCTCATTTGTTTCTTTCCTTCTCTGCAGGCTCCAGCTTGATGGGAAGTTGTTGAATGAAAGGGAACTAGTTGTATGAGAAGATATTTGAGGACTGTAGCTTCCCACTAGAACACAGATGTCCTTGATTCTTTCTCACTACTTTTCATATAATTTAAGGAAGTAGTGAAAAGCACTTAGCTCTTCTATTTGAGTCCCCTTCCATAGGAAAGGATAACTTCCATAGGATAGTTCTTGCCTGTTGTGGTCACTCTGAGATCTGGAGTTAGACAAACAGTCAAGTTCTCAAGGAAACTATTCAAGTGCTAAAGAGTAGTGGGTGTCCTTGTGTCAAACTATCAAAGTAAGCAGACTCCTTAAAAACCACAGCAAAGTGTAATGCAGTCCATTAACTAATCATTACCAGACATACCTGCTAAATAGCTATGTTGTTTTTATATTGAAATGGCTTGAAACAAACCAGCCCTCCAATTTGCTATTAACTCTGGAAATGGGTGAACCCTGTTCTCTTTAGACACTCTAGATCTTTGCTCTGTCTTGAATTCTCCTGCCACTGCAAGCCTCTGGTTTATATGGGAGATATTACTGGGACTATAAAAAGTGGGGCAGTTTTTATGGCTGAGTAGTCCCATTTGCAACAACACGGATAGACCTTGAGGGTATGATGTTAAGTGAAATAAGCCAGACAGAGAAAGACAAATACTGCATTATTTCACTCATATGTGGAAAATAACAAATACGTGGATAAAGAGAACAGATTAGTGGTTGCCAGAGGGGAATGGAGTTGGGAGGTGGGCAAAAGGGATAAAGGAACACATACATATGGTGATGGATAAAAATTAGACTACTGGGGGTGCGCATGATGAAGTGTATTCAGGAATTGATAAACAATAATGTACACCTGAAATTACACAGTGTTATAAACCATTATAATCCCAATAAAATTACTTGAAAGAAAAAAGCAGAGCAGTTTCAGAAAAATACTAGCCTAATACTTATTGAGAATAGAATTTTATTAAGGAAACATTCAAGATATGATTTTCTGGTAGTCTGTATTTGCCAAGACTGGGTTGGGAATCTTAGCCAGGTAGAAAATAAAAAAAGAGTATTCTGAGCAGCAGTTTGTGGTAATACAGCCAACATGCCGGAGGGAGGCAGGAGGGTGCCCCAATGTCAGTGGAATGGCTGGGCTTCAGAGCCACATCTCTCTTTGATGCACTGTCCTGAATTGGTGTATCCTCTTCCTCTGCTCATTGAACCTGGGATCAATGAGGAATTGTGACCATCTTTGCTTATGATCACTCAACTGACACGTTTTTTCCTTACAGGCTGCCATTTGCCGCTGTAGCCAGCCTCTGTCTGGATTTAACACTCGCTGCATAGATGATGAGCTCTTGCTAGAGGCCATTAGCCAAACAAACCCAGGGGGCCAGTTTATGTATGTTGTAGACACAAGACCAAAGGTATCTATTCTTCAATGACCTCTTTGATGTTCCTACTTCACTCATCTTGCAATCCCCCTCCCCACATGTTGAGCTTTACAGTGTTATTGGGAAAGTTAGGTTTGTGTTATATGGGCTTATAGTGTAAAATCATTTGAGCAAGCCATTTGGAGCTCATTTTATTGTAGACTGTCACTGTAAAGCAAGACTGTGAGCAGGTACTTTGAACAACCTACCTTTGCCGCCTCCTGAATTTGTGATATCTGAATTGAATGACCTGGAGGCTCTTTGACATTCCCTCATCTTTTTCGCTAAATCTGTTCCTTAATCAGAATTTTCAGTATTCCTCTTCTGTGGTCTAAATCTACTATCAGAGAGAGCACTTCAACTTAACACTGGAAACTTATTAATATGAACATATCTTTCTGTACATAATGTATTAAACCACAGTGGGTTAATAATACTTTCGTGTGTCCTAAAGGAGCAGGGCTCACAAATGTGACTGCTATATGATTAACAAAAATTCTTTGGCTTATATGGCACTAATTTTTTAGCACACAGCACTATTTGCTGATTAATTTTTTCATAGTTCAATGAAGTGCAGTGTAAATCTTGGTCCTAGAAAAGAAAAGACCAGGAAAGTAATTTTGCCATGGATTTTGGCAGTGGACATGGGCCTAGTGAAATCCTTTGATCTTTCCAAAAGCCAAAAGCTGCGTGATTTGTTACAATGTGTTTTGCCAGGCTGACCCTTTCAAAGGTGAATGTCACAGAAAGGAGGGTCCTCAGATCAACCTAAGTATCAGCCTAAACACACTGCATTAATTCCTTGACCTTCAACATTTTGTTTAGCTCTATAAGGGATTGTAGAAGAATTAATTGTGCCCCATGAGAGCAAGTAAAGGACAGATTACCTTTTCTTGAAGGTTGTCCTTTTCACAAAGAGCCCCAAAAAGAAATAATTTTGCTTCTACTTTGATGTGTGGAGTATGGCAGACTAGGAAGTTTCATTGCTGACTAGTGATTGCTAAATTGGTGATTTAGATCTAAGCCTAAGCCAGGTTGTTGTGGCTTCAGAGTTGAGTAATTGGATGCACACAAAACCAGATAGTGGCCTTAGACAACTCTCTGCCCCATTTTGGGGATCTTGCACTGGCTGTTCTTCAGAGCTACCTAGGACTGACTGGGCTCAAGAGAGAAAATAACTTCCCTTTCTGCTCAGGCACCATCCTTCAGTTTCTCAGAAGTTTACTGACTTGCTTCAACTGTACCTATATCTCACATTCTGGGATTGGAAAGAGTAATCAAATCTGTATCTTTCATCAAGATTAAATAATCTTAAAATGGTAAAGAGAAAGAAACCAAGCTTTTGAACAACCGAAAGGATTGGTGCTTTTGTCCAAACCCAAGACCAAAAGCCCTCTTTAACAGGTCCCTTTTTCCTTTCTCAGAAGGCCTAGAAATATCTAGCAACTTCCCTCTTCTGGATGCTTAGATCTATACTTTTAGTAGAAACTGTACTGTAGTGAAAAAATTACAATCTTGGAAGCCAGACAAACCTGAGGTCAGATCCTTCCTTTAGCCCTTATCCATATGATCCTGGTTGAAATTAGTTTATCTCTCTGAGCCTGTGTTCTTATAGGAATAATCATAGTACCTATCTGGAGGGACTGTAGTGAGGATTTAAATGAGATAGTGTATATAAAGGATCTATCACAGTCTCTGGCATATACTAGGGGCTCAATAAATATTATATGTCTTCCCTACTTGAACACTGGGCTGCTACTATGTAGCTGTTCCTCAGATCTGCCAAACATATTCTCAAAGAGTGTGTACTAGTATGATATAACCAACTGTCTGCAGTAGCTGGCTTTTCTAGTGCTGCCCAGACCTGGGTAGGGACTACTGTAATTACTGTTTTGTTTTCTGAAGCATCCATCAATCACAGCAAACTTCCTTGCTACTAGGTGGCTGTTGCTTATACCTCCACAGATGTTCCTTTGACGTGTGTCATTAATTTAATGAAAGCTCAGTGACATTGTGTGGTAAGATATCAAAATTACCATCACGTTTCTCCCTTTAACAAGTACTTACATTCTAAACAGAATATGTTGACACTTAGACTTCTTTCCTATGCATATGTAAACGTGAATAGTTTGTGCTTTTGAGGTTTTAATGGCGTTCTTTTCTATTAATACAAAAACCACACCCTGTCCACATACATGCTCCTCCTGCCTTCTGAAATGTACAATACTGGAAGATGAGAAAACAGGCCCAGACAACAGAAAATCATTTAATTAGTAACAGGGTTATCATCCTAGAAGGTATCTTGGCTACTTTCTAGTTATTGTATTAATATCTCCTTTCTGCAAGTCTCATTTACTTTCCATCCCTCCCAGCATTCTTCATATGACCTAGAAATACTCTGATTACCACAAGCTGACCATAGCATTAAAAACAGCTCTTGGTAGTTCCATTTCAATTTTATCAGTGAGTAAAAGTCATTTATCTCATGCAATTATGTTTTAGACATTTTTCTAGAATAGCTATTTAAATTAATTGGCCCTGAAGATCTTAGACTTCTTTCTAGAGCCTCTCAGTTCTAAAGATTTTTGAACTTTCACATGTTTCTCAGTATAATGCCTTTTTAGCTGAGAAAACATTTGTTTGTGATAGGAAGCTCAAAATTATTTCAGTTCTTCAGATCAGATATCTTTACAGCTACCATATCTTTCAATCTCTTAATCAGGGTTTTAGTAATAAAACAAAAACACTAAATCTCTCTCTTTCCCTATACTACTGTGCTATTTAAGATACCTGATCTAAAAATCAGTGAAATTCTCTCCATTCCAGAATGTGCCCTGTCTGATTTACCTTCTTTTTAAATGGGTAAGATTTAAAACTGTTTAGAATGAGGCATTGAGATTGCTGAACGCTGTTCTTTCATCATCTGCTCTATCTGCTCTACTATGTTCTCAACTATTGCAGTTGAATGCCATAGCCAACCGAGCAGCTGGGAAGGGGTATGAAAACGAAGACAACTATGCCAACATTCGCTTCAGGTTCATGGGCATTGAGAACATCCACGTGATGCGGAGCAGCCTGCAGAAACTCTTGGAAGGTACAGGGATTTCACCTTGGCTAGGCCAGAGGCCATAGCTTTGCATTATTATATACGCAAAAAGCATGCCTGATTGGGGGTAGACCATAAAAGCAACCAGGTGAGCAGAGTCAATAGGTGATAAGGTTTTTACTATATAGTATGAACCCAACTTACACAGTACTGAATTATAGCAGTGGTGGTCTGGCAGAGGAACCAAGATGTTCAGCTTCATAACTCAGTGGAGTCCATCTGGGTTTAGTTGCTGTTGAAATCATTTCTCTCTATAGAATTACAGAGGCTGTTGTTCAGGGGTGAGTAGATCAACATAAGTATAAATGAATTTGGGATTCATTTCATCATCCTCAAGGTAAGAAGTCACCTCATTTAATGTGCTATAAGGAGTCAGTCTGATTTCATCACTGTACTGGTAAAAGGGGTGAATTTAGACTTTAAAGGAATAAAGCTGATATCAGATAAGTTGGGTCATTTGTCATCACTGCAAGATAATTGGAGTCAGAATGGGATAAAAATGAGATTGGGGCCTTATAAGACTCTTGAGTCTAGAACATTTCTTCGAAAGCCACTACCCAGGATTCCATGAAGTGGTATGTCAACTCAGGAGGAAATAGTGAAAACCTGCCTTCTTTAGTGAACTCCCTGTTATTCCTCTATTCTTCAGTTTTGTAATTATGCTGTCTGCTAGGACCTCTCCCTGACATGACCCTTATCAGATCCTGTCTCCTCAGTCTTGCATCCCTTTTAGGATATTAGTGTTCCTCTTCCTTGGGTTTCTTCCGCCTTTCTTTTTGTCCCAGATTATTCTATAGTACTATGGAAGAAGGGGACTTTTTACAGATTTTTGAAACAAAAGATTGCCCTCTGCTGGATAACCAGTACAAAGTGTATTAAATTAACTGGAATGTTTTTTTCAACCTGTTGAGACAGCACAGGGCTGTAGGGAAGTGGTGGGGGTGTGGGAGTAGAGACAGATGTTGATGGTCTGGGTGGAATTAGGATGGGAATCAAATGTGTTTTCCAATCAAAGGAAATGTGAGTGTTTTCCTGTGGATGCTGACTCAGTCTTCTGACTCTCTTCTTCAGAGATTTCTGTGGGTGTGGGGGTGGGTTCTACAACTCAAGAAAGCAGAGACCCAAGCTGGGAGATATGGTAGGCTCTAGCCCTAGTCCTGTCCCTGACTCACTGTGTGGTTTCCAACTAATCATTTGTCCTTTCTGTGCCTCAGCTTCCTCATTTACGAAATGGGGATCCACTTTGTCTCCTTTCTTGGTGAATAAACTGAGGTAATTGTAAATTTCAATCTTTGCTTCCTTTTCTACCTTAGTTTGTGAATTGAAAACTCCAACAATGAGTGAATTTCTTAGCGGCCTGGAGAGCTCAGGGTGGTTGAGACACATTAAAGCTATTATGGATGCTGGAATTTTCATTGCAAAGGTAATAATCAGGACTTTTAAGAACTTGCACTGACTTTAATTATGGGATCTCTTGAAGTAGCAGTGTATCATGGTGGAAATATTGTTGTAAAGAAACCTAGTTTCTAGATTCATCTCTGCCACTAATTCACTCTCTGCCTTGATAAATCTCTTCCCTTCTCTGGATCTTAGTTTCTCTATACGTAAAACAAGGTGGTTGGACTAGAATCTAATGGTATAACTTTTGGGGGACCCAGAGATCTCTGAGAATATGACGGACTCTCTCCCCCTGGAAAACTGTACATAAGGCTATACATACAAAAAATGGACCTTAATTTCAGGGGGCCCACAGACCTCTGGACTTCAGGTTAAAAACTTTTAGATGATCTCTAATGGTCCTTCCAGCTCAAATACTCTCTGATGTATTTTTGTGTTGATTCCGAGGTATCAAGAGGAAGTAAAAGTGGGTGTAAAATAAATGAAGAGCTTGTGTATCTATGGGTTTTCAAAGCTCTGAGTATAAAGCAGAACTTTTTGACTTCTTTGTATAGGTCTGCCTCTGAATGCAGCCTAAGCAGGCTTCATTTATGCTGACTCACTTATTTTCTGACTGCTAGAACACTGTCCTCTGTATCATTTGCTAGGTGATGTAAAAAATAAAGAAATTTAGAATGCACATTTTCCCATTTTGAAGTTTTGTTGATATCAATATTCCTACATGACAACTCTCCCTTTTCACCCCACCCCCATTAAAAGTAGAGAAAAGGAGACAATGACTTTTCACTCCTCTGCTGTCATTTTCTCGGTTGAAGGTAATAAATTATATAGCCTCTAGCTTAAAAGATTTGAACAGTGTGTATAATTAACTGACTTAAATATCCAGCCCTAGTGCTTTTCACTTTCCTAGTCCTAGTGCCTACATTTTTCATTGTAATATGTTTATTAATGTTTACTATATGATCCACTTGGTTGTTTCAAGCCCACTGTTCTAACCATCCTTCATACTGTTCCTTTTTTACATCTCCTACACCCATACATCTATATTCCCTTTATGAAACTAACGTCATTAGCCCAAAGAGAGTGAGGATCTAGAAGAGGGGTATATTTTATCCCTCAGTACAACTTCATAAATATCAGTTGAATTAAAATGAATGAATGGAAAAGATAGGCTTGGGATTGTACAGTTACCCTGTGCTCCCCATCTCCATCACCACCTATCCAGTATTCCAAGCTTGAAAACTCAGTCAGCCTTGAATTCTTTCTCTTTCTCTCCATCTGGCGATTGCCCAGTCCTACCAGTTCTACCTCAAAAGTGTTTCTCCAATCTGTCCTTTCTTTCCAGCCTCTACTGCTACTTCCCTAGTTAAGATATTCATCATCCCTTGCCTAAAGTACTATAGTAACTTCCTAACTGGCTTACTTATCTCTAGTAGTTCTCCCCAGTTTGGCCACCAAATTGCTTCTAAACTCCTTTCTTGAGCACATGTGATAATGTTACTTTAAGCTCAAAATCCTCCATTGGCTCCCTGTTGTCTATAAGACCCTGGCAAAAGTGAACTTCTTGTTCTCAAAAACACTATAGTACCCCTCCCTCTCTCTCTTTCTTTCTCATTATCTTTATTTTATTTTTTCTCATTATCAAAGTTATCCATGTTCATTATCAAGGAAGTAAACATTTCAGAAATGTATAACATAAAATGTAAGCGTCCACTGTAGTTTGTCCCATAACACACACATCACTTTTAATAGTTTAATGTGTATGCCTCTAGATCATCACTGTCTACTTGAACTTTCTATGAGGATGGAAATGTTCTAGATGTGTACTAATACAATAGCCACTAGCCACATGTGGCAGTTGGACACTTGAATTGTGGCTAGTGAGACTGAGCAACTGAATTTTTAGTTTTATTTAATTTTAATGAATTTAAATTTAAATAGTGACTTATGGCTAGTGAATACCATATTGGACAGTACAGCTGTAGAGTTTTTTTTAACATATATACTTACATATATTATTACCACTTTGTAAAATTGGGATTATACTGTGAATATTGTTCTGCAACTGACTTTTTACACTTATTATATAATGAACGTTTTCCAGGTCAGTTCAGTCAGTACTACTTCATTCTTTTCAGTGACTGTATAATATTCCATTATGTGAATTTATCATAGTCCCATGTTAATGGGCAGTTCAGTTATTCCTAGTTTTTCACAATTGCAAGACATTGTTGCACCAAATACCTTTGGATATTTATCTTTATATGTGTGGACATTCTTAGAAATGGTTTTTCTGAGTCAGAAAGTATAAATATTTCAGACTTTACTAGATGTGGCCAAATTGTCCTCCAAATGTCCACCAGTTTCCATTACCACCGACAATGCCTATTTCTTCACATTGCTAGCAGTGGTTATCATCAGTCTTTTTAATCTTTTCCAATATGATTGGCGATGCATTTTATGTCACATTTTAATTTGCATTTCTTTAATCATTAGTGAAATCGAGCATCTTTTCCTGTCCACCAGTGACTTTTCACTCCATTTGGAGTCCTAGGAAAGAGTGTAGTTGCTACTGTCAGACCTCTGACACTACCTGAGGTGTCTGGTTAACTGAGAAGTTACAAAGGTTGAGAAACTTTTTTCCATATCTCTCTAAATCTTGTCTCACCTGTAACCTAACTATTCTTCTAGGAATATCATTTCTTTTGTACCTTCTACTACAAAGGTACTCATTTTCCCACACCCCATGAACTGCAGGGCCCACAGCAGGTTCAGTATTACCCATGCTCCTTACAAAACTCCTTCCTCCTTTCAGGTCTGTTTCATTTAGCTATACCACTCTGTACCTCTCCTAGTTACTCTCCCTTCTCCATTAAAGACTTTGGGAATGGCCTTAGCACCTTCTTCTCCATCCTGATTCTTTCTCTCATTCCAGAAGATTTGAACGTGCATGTACAACCTATCAAACACTCTGCACTAATAGTTCTTTGAACTTTTATACTCCAGTTCTCACACTCTCACTCTAACTAGCTTGGTTCTTCTATCCTATAGAGACTTCTATACTTTTAACTCCTCTTTTTCCTCCTTCTCCCACCTTCTTCCCTATCTAGCCAAGACCTGGTGGTGTAGCACTGCATCCATTCTACCTTGCCCGTTATCCTTCCCCTCTACCTGCCCTGCTAATCCCATCATTTTCTACTTTCTCTGCTTTTATATCCTGACTACTAAACATTGCTGCAAGGAAGTAAATCCCATAGCCATATTAATTGGTCCCAGTCCTGGTCCACCAAACAGATATTCCTAATTTGTACCTTGCTTTTAAGCTGGCTACACCACTGTTACTCCCCTCTCTAAGCACATATTCAAACATGTCTCCTTCTTCATGGAAAAATTGTCTCCTTCTTCATGGAAAAATTAAGTTTATCTCTTATCTTCCCACTAGTAATCCTTGCCACTTTTGGGGGTGGCTCTTTTTCCTTGCTATCTCAGAGGAAATGGTGCTCCATCTTCTGTGTAAGACTAATTCCATCTACCTCTATTCTAAATTCCATCCCCTTTCTTCAAGGAACCTCTTTCTCCCACATTTCCAACATACTGCTTTTGACTGGCTTTATCCCTCATAAATGTGCTGAAATAATTTCTCATTCCTAAAGAAAAAGAACTTTTCTTATCCTCTTCTAGCTATTGTCCTTTTTCCTCTTGGTTAGAGCTTTCTTGAAAGTAGTTGGCCTTCCCCATTAGCACTTCCTCATGTCCCTTTACTCTTTAGTTCACTGAGATATGATTTCCATACCATTACTACTGTTGTTGCTTACTAATGACCCCTGACTTCTCAAATATAAGGATCACTCTAGTCTTCATTCTGTTTTGACTTCTTTGCTGCATTTAGTACTGTTAACCCCTTTCTCTTTGAACCATTTTTGTAGTCTTGGCTTTAGTCCAACTACTCTTTCCTGGTTCTCTTTCTACTTTTCAGGCTGCTTTTGCACAGGCTGACTCCTGTAATAGCCCCCCCACCCCCCACTTTCCCCTTAAAAGTCACTGTTTTGTTTTGTATTGTTTTTGAGGAAGATTAGCCCTGAGCTAACATCCGCTGCCAATCCTCCTCTTTTTGCTGAGGAAGACTGGCCCTGAGCTAACATCCGTGCCCATCTTCCTCTACTTTATATGTGGGATGCCTACCACAGCATGGCTTGTCAAGCAGTGCCATGTCGGCACCCGGGATCCGAACCGGCGAACCCCAGGCTGCCAAAGCGGAACATGCAAACTTAACCACTGTGCCACTGGGCCAGCCCCAAAAGTCACTGCTTTTTAAGGTCTTTCCTTTTCTCACTTTGGTCTCTTCCTAGACAGCAACAGCCACGCACACAGTTTCCACTAGTACCTCTATTTATATAGCAGTCAAATCTACACTCTGACCCAGTTTCCTCCCTCTCCTGAACTCCAGACCCACATATCCACTTGTCCACTGGACTTGCCACTGGATATCCTTCAACTACCTCAGACTCACCATGGCCCAAACTGAAATCTTCTTGCCTGCTCCCAACACCAATTAAAACTTGTTTCTTCTATGTTCACTGTTCAGACTAATGGTACTGTTATCTACCTAGTTACTAAGGCACACATTTCAGAATCATGCTTGACTCTTCCTTCTCCTTTATCCCATATCCATTCTCTCACTATGCCCTGTTAAATTTTCATTCTTGATCCATTTTCTTCTTTTCCCACTGCTGAGACCTTGGTTCAAGCCCTCATTGCCTTTCACAATTTTAGTAGTTCTCTGACTGGTCTTTCTAAATCCAAACTCATGTCCTCCCAATCCATTCTCTTTACTGCCACCACAGTAAGCACATTTGATCATGGCATGTCTCTGCTCTTAACACCTCAGTGGTTCCCTATTGCCACCAGATAAAATGCCTACTTGCCAGGCCTGTCTCTCCTCACTCCCTCTCTCCCAACCTAGCCTTAACCATAACCAAGCTACTTTAGAGTTTCTTACCTATGTCATGCCTCCTTGCCTTTGTACATGCTGTAATGTCGTGCCCCCTTCCTGGAATGTCCTTTCCTCCTGGTCCATCTGACAAATGCTTACTCATCCAATAAGACCCATTTTAGTTATTTCCTTCTCTTTGGTTATTTTGTGCCTTTGTTGTACCTGGTATGGACTTTTATTGTTTTAGTTATCATTGGTTTGTAGTCATTCATTTAAGTGTTTGTCTCCTTTGTATCCCCAGTGCACACCATAGCACTTCTTGTATAGTCACTCAGTAATTATTGACTAGGTAGGTGGATAAATGAATGAATGAATAAATTAATTTTCTTCTCCTTCCTCACCTAAGGAAATCCTACTCTTTTCTTCAAGGCTCAAGCTTCCCTGACTCCTACAAAAGGATATAGTTACTAAACATTACACTGTAGCAGCAGTCTTTCCACTGTATTGTATTGATTTATTTACCTTTGGTCACCCTGACTAGGTTGTGAGCTCCTTGAAGGCAGAAACTGAGTCTCATTTTTGAATCTCTAATACCTATCACATACCTGGTACAGAGGGATACATAATTAAGTGTTATAATGAATAAGTGAATGTTCAATGTTTACCATTGTCAAAACTGCCCAGGTTAAATAACTGCCCAGATTCTTACATTATTTTAATTGTATAGAAACTGACCTAAGACAGGTAAATCTTTCCATCTTAAGTTGAAAGAATTTATGTTAATCAGATTAAATGGCTAAGGACTCCAGAAGAAATCTTTGTCAGATATGGGACTAGAATGCAGAACTGTCCTATCTGTGTTTTTGAGCATGAATTCTTCCTCTTTCCCACTTCTCTCTCTGAGAATTGATCGTTGTCTTCTTCAGAAGTTTTATCAATTTAGAACTCTCTTTGTTTTTCTTTTTACCCTGCATCATATGTTGGTTTTCCTATTAGTTAAGCTCTTCTTCTTCTATTACATTCCTTTATTTTATTTTTCATTCCCCATAGAAGATGTCAATATTATGAGAAGAAACTAATGTAACCCAGTAAGACCAAGTTCTCTGTGCTACAGGGATGGTATTTGGCAACCCTATTTGTTAACCCAGCATACTATGCAAAAGTTGTTTATGCAACTTTTTGCCTCTTGTCTTCACAGGCAGTGAAGGTAGAAAAGGCCAATGTCTTAGTCCATTGTTCTGATGGGTGGGACCGCACAGCACAAGTCTGCTCTGTGGCCAGCATCCTCCTAGATCCATTCTATAGGACATTCAAGGGACTCATGGTAAGAGGACAAGTGATTGTATTTTACTTTGCATGAGTGACAGATTGTGAATAAATCAAAAATAACTCTCAACCAACTTGTTTTCTATAGGAAGGAGCTCCAAATATAAAAAATAGTTGTTTTTCACTTAACATAATTCTCTCAAGGACAGTTTAGTGGATACCAGGGGAAAGGTGGGGTGGGGCGTGGGCACAAAGTGTGAAGTGGTGCACCTACAACATGACTGACAAACATTAATGTACAATTGAAATTTCACAAGATTGTAACCTATCAATAACTCAATAAAAAAAAATTAAAAAAATGTTTTCTTTTGATCCCTTGCATGAAATTTTTGAGACTACAAATTGCTGGGGTTTTTGTATGCAATTATGAGTGTTAAGAATAAAATACATGTTAGAAATTAAAAAAAAAATAGTTGTTTTTCAATTTAGCTTCTTTCCACTAAACTAGGCATTTGCGGTCTATATACTTTCTGTTGCACATTCAACATAGTTTCTTATCTATCAGAAGGTAAGTTGTATGTAATAGGCTGCTATAAGGGGTAGGAAAGACTCTAAAAGTTTGCAAAGCTGAGTGGAGAACTATTAAATAGGCTGTCTGACGGGTTCATCATCTTCAACTTGTCAGCTGTTTGTATGTCAGACTTGTGATTGTTTTCTGGTGCTGAATCCAAGTCTTCTTAGTTGATCTTTAAAGAAACAGAACTCACAATAGGAGTGTATCCTCATTTTTTTGGAAGTGATTTTTTTTTAAATGATTAGAAATAGGTTTGTAGAACAAATCTTGGTACAAACCCAAATACTGCCTTTGGATTCTTGTTTTTTCATAGATTTAATTCAATATCATGTTTATCAGGATTGCATTTAGCTATGGCTCAAATGGCTTGTCACACATCATATAAAAGCCAAAAGAAATGAGACACTGGATAAAATTCAGAATAATTTTTCCTGAGAGCATTTGGAATTTGAAGGTAGCCTATATAGTCCTTTAAATGAAATCCAAGTTAAGTGCTTAGTTATCATTTTGGAAATTAACTCTATTTATGATGAGTTCAACCCAAACTTGTACAAAGTCCATTTGAGCAAAGTATTTTGATATTTTTATATGTATGGTTAATTCATTTTATGGTTTTCCTAATGGAAAATTTTCTTTTTGTATAAAAATGAAGATCCTGATAGAGAAGGAATGGATATCCATGGGCCACAAGTTCTCTCAAAGGTAAAAATATCCTCATTTTAAAGGAGGAGGCTAAAGAGAGTTCATTAGGGTGAGGTTTATCAAAACCCCAGTATGTTCTTGTGTAGGAAGGAACAGTAAGTTGAACATGACATAAATCTCTTTTCATCAAGAAACAAGTATTCCAGACACTGTGCTGGGGGACTAAGGCTACAAAGGTGAGTAGAATATCATCTCTTCCTTCAAAGTGTGCAAATATATCAAATTGTTAAATATTTTAGGGAAGAACAAGGCATCACAAGCCACAGAGGAAAAAGTGCTTAACTCTGCTTGAAGAAATCAGAATAGGTTTTCAGGTATAAGTAGCACTTTTTGAATGATGAATTTTTGGAGATGAATAGGAGTTTGCTAGGCAGAACAGTGGGATGAGGAGGGCATTCAGGCAGAGAGAATAATATCTAAGACAATGCACCTTGTAAACTTTCATAAGAAAAAAGACAGGTACAGATTTCTGTTCTTTAGTAAGAGGTGAGTGCAAGGGCTGACATTTATCTAGTGTCTACTATAAGCCAAACAGCCTCACTGACACTTTACCTATGTTATCAGAACAATCAAAAAATATTACCAAATACCTAACAACGTGCTGCATAGTATATCAGACAGTGACTAGCTGGTACCAAAGGCACATAAAAAGTGAGTTTTACCCTCAAGGATGTTATACTTCAGGTCTTATTTTTCCCCGTTGCTGTGTATCCATTTAATTTCATTTGGTTGGCACTCTCTAGCCATTTTGGTCCATGTAGTCATTCTTGCTTCATCAGCAAACATTGGGCCAAGCAATATGTCAGATATTAAAGAAACTGTGTTGAATCAGATATGGTCTCTGTCTCTTCTTTCACAGAAGAGAAAGTTGGCGATGACAGTATAGTATGATAAGTGTGAAGACAAGAGTAAATATAAACAGAGGAACCTTATCCATTCTGGGGCAAAGAAGGCTTCCTGAAATTGGTGGCATTTTAGAAGATTAAAGAAGATGAGGTTGCAGATGTGAAAGAGACAGTGAGTGTTTGGTAGAATAAGTCTCCTGAAGAGATAAGAGGAGGTGAAAGCTATGGTCCAAATGAAAAGATTAGCTTGAGCTATAACAAAGAATACCTCTTCTATGGAGACTGGATGGAAGGACAGGCAGAGAAGGAATTAAGTGTGTGAGTGTCAGACACAGAAGTTAGATATTTTCACTTGATGGCCTTGAGCTTTTTCAGTGACACTGTGGACACCAGCATGGAATGGGTTAGGAATTTGAGAAGATAGCTTAAAATTTGCAAGAGCTGTAAGGTTAATGGGAAAACAGTGTTAAGGACTTATATGAAGATTATTTTGGAGAAGTTAAGTTCTAGCTAGGTGTGGAGACTTAATTTTAAATGGTGTCAGTTTACATGGTTTTATAATTTTCTCAAGCAGCATTCATCAGCCAGGATGTGGGAGCAGAGAACATAGCTTTTGAGGCTCGTCTGTGGTTGGATTTTGAAGAAAGACCAGAAAGTTGAAGAAAATGAAGAGAGAATAGTTGATGGGGCATAACATAGAGTATAGGCTGGATAAGGAAGAAAAGAAAGCCAGTAGGAATCTGACAGGTTGAGAGGTACAAAGATGAAGGCTGGAGGAGATAAGATGAGCAGCCTTTGGAAATATATGGTGGTACAAGTAGAATATTGAGATTAAGATTTCAAAGTGGAGTAAGAACCTCTAGGTAACTTCAAGAACCAGCCTATGGCCACGGATACGGGAGGCTGATGTGGAGTAGAGGTGAAAATTGGTGAAGATAATTGAATTTGAGTTAGTTAAGGAACCTGCTAAGCCAGTAGGTCATCTGTGTTGACCTCAAAGATAAGTACTTAAGACAGGATCCAGATTCTTCAGAAAATGTGGGGAAGTGATTCAGAGATTGGTAGAAGACAACAGTGAGGAAGGGGAAGATAGTTTAAGCTAAACAGCATGACTCATAATGGAATTATTTTTAAGAAAGTGAAAGTAGTAGCAGAGATCAGTGGTAAGAGCAAAAACAAAGCTGATCCCACCTCTGCCCTGTTTTAGGATTATGATATGTGGAGAGTGGAATGATGAGTATTCTCCATTTGATTTGGACCTCAAGAAGACGTGGTGTCCTTGGTGTGGCAGATTTCAGTTAAATGAAAGAGTAGACCAGTCAGTATAGAAGCTGAGGATGCTGTGTTTGCTTCCAGTGGGATAGGGTTTCCAGTAGATGGTAGAGTTGGTAAAGAGGGCATCATGGAGGAGGAAACAGTAAACAGTTCTGGGATGATGTTTGTTTATTCATTTAATAAATATTTATTAAATACCTATTTCATGCCAGGTACTATACAGTAAATAACATAGATATGGTCCTTGCTCACATAAAGCTAAATGTGGCTGTTTAAATTTAAATTAATTAAAATTAAATACAATTAAAAATTCAGTTCCTTAGTCACAGCCACATCTCAAGTACTTAATAGTTAGTAACTACTGTATTGGAAGCACAGATATGAACATTTCCATCATTGCAGAAAATGCTATCTTAAAGAGGGTGTAGGAGGAAAGAGAATAGATGACCAAATGGCTTACATTATGGATGATAATGAAGGATGCCAGTGACTAAGAGGTCTGTTGGGATTTACAAGCTTTGAGATTCTGGGTGGCATTTTGGAATGAGGTATTTCCTTGCCATGCCAACAGAATCAAAAGGTGACCTTGTTATAGCCTATTCCAAACAATGTAATCTCTGATGTTAACTAGTGTCTTTCTTTACCTTTATTTGCATGTCTCAGGTGTGGCCACCTGGATGGGGACGCTAAAGAGGTATCCCCTATCTTCACCCAGTTCCTAGACTGTATCTGGCAATTAATGGAACAATTTCCTTGTGCCTTTGAGTTTAATGAAAACTTCCTGCTGGAGATCCATGACCATATTTTCTCCTGCCAATTTGGGAACTTTCTTGGAAACTGCCAGAAGGATCGGGAAGATCTGAGGTGAATTCAGTTTGTGAGAAAACAATGAAAAGGGAGAGGGGGATCAGTGCAAAAGGAATGTAACCACCACCCTGAATTTGAGACAGCAGTTCAGGAAAGGGGAGGAGATAACAGTGATAAAGAGAAGTGTTGAAGCCTAAAGTACTCAATGTTTGCATGGGGATTTCTCAGAACCTGAGATTCCTCATATGTAAAATAGGGATAATAATACCTACTTTTCAGAGTAGTCATGAGGAATCGATAAAACAATGGGTATGCAAGGACTTTGTAAAGAATCAATTACTGTGCAGGTGTGAGTAGTCATTATCTATAGTCCTTTATCACTTGTATCAGAGATCACAAAATGGCAGCTCATAGGCCAAATCTGGCTCAAAAGGCACGTTTTATTTAGTCTGTGGAGTATTTTTTTAAACTGTAAATTAGTTTTCAACATTTAAATATCAGGACATTTCACATAAAAATCCAGTTATTTTAGGATTTTTTTCCTAAATAGAAAAGCTGTTCTTCCAAGATACTCTCCTGAGAGCCAGCCCTGATGGCCTAGTGGTTAAAGTTTAGTGCTGTCACTTCTTCATCAGCCTGGGTTTGGTTACCAGTGGCAGAACCACACTACTCATTTGTCAGTTGCCATGCTGTCGTGGCAGCTCACAGAGAACTGGAAGGACTTACAACTATGATATACAACCATGCACTGGGGCTTTGGGGAGGAAAAAAAGAAAGATATTCTCCTGAAAAGTCAGGAGCTGTGGCAACACTGGACCTGCATTTCACAAGGCATTAATCAGCCAGAGCTGAATTGTGGCTGCTCCATTTGGATGAAGCAAACTAATTCTTGTTTACCACTCCCTATAGTTTATTCTCAGCCCACTTCTAATGTTATTTTCATAGCTTCTGTAGGCAGTTGAATTTGTACTCAAGTTACACTGTAACATCCCCACAATATACAAAACGTAAATACTTTATGAGGTTGACAAGATAGAGTTGCTGTGAGCAGTATTCTCCTTGTTTTAGAGACAGAAAAGAACAAAAAGACAGGAAAGTAGCTATCTCACAACCCACTTTTTGTTTCACAGCTGTTGGTTGTGTAGCAGTTAGCTCAAGTTCTCAGGCCACCCTATGACATATCCTGGATGATATCACCTCTCCATGATTCCATTTTCTTGTCAAGACAGAGAACAGTGATGAATCTTGCTGCTTTAACATTTGGACTTTCTTGGTGGCTTCTATGGACATTTCTCTTTCTTTTTGCAACTAGACCTTCCTTACTCTCTCCCCAAATTATTTGAGACACATTCATTCTGTCTCTGACTTGCTTCTCTAGGCCTTAAAACCGAAGATATTTTCCATATTCTTTTTTCCACCCTCTTAAAATGAGGCTAATATATCCAAGACCCATTCCCCGCACAAATCTGAAGCTCCATTGCAAAAGTACAAAAGGTGAACATATTCAAATCATGATTACTTAAAACAAGAAGTATCATTCATTTATGAAAGGAAAATCATGGGCTCTAGAATCAGACACACCTGGGTTCAAATTTTGGCTCTTTTACCTATTAGCTATGTGACCCTTAGTAAATTAATTTTTGTGTCATTTTCTCATTAGAATTTTAAGATAAAATACCCCACAGAGTTTTATTGTGAAAATTTAATGAGGTATTTTAGGTATAGTCTGAAACAGTGCTTGACACATAGTAAGTACTCAATAAATATTAGCTACCATACCTCTACAAGACTTTTTTTCTGTTTTTAAACAAGAACAAATTAGAAAGATAATATACAGCCTTTGGCCTCACTGAAATGGTCTCAGGATTGTAAAAGTTACAAGACTACAGTTTTAGGTCCTACCACCTATACACTCCTCTTTGTTCTCCTCCTTAAGCTTTCTTGGTCTGAGTTTGTGCAAATGACCTTCCCATGCATAGTTACACAGCAGCTCTCATTGGGGACCAGTGGATCCCATGCTTTTTGAGGTGTTAACTAAGGTTCTTCCTTACTGGGTGAGCAGATTCCCTATGGTCTCAACTAAGGTATAAGAATTAGTCTTGCAATATAAATATTATAGTCTTTAGCTGTTCACCTAAGATAACTCACAAATATTTGCTAATATAAATTGCCAATTGTCTTTCACTGTCTTATACTTTCTGAGAGGAGGAGAAGTAGGCTTGAAATATTAAACATAGAAGAGCCAGAAATTCACACTCTAGGCTGTCTCTTAACAGATTTTTAAAAACAATTCCAGATTTTTTAAAACTTGGCAGATCATCAGTTCATAGAATCCCAGATGTGGAAGAGACCTGAGAAGACAAATTATATTAATGAGGAGACAGGCTCAGAAAGAGCTAGGGACATTCCTAAATCAAATAGCTACTCCACAGCAGGTACTGGACTTAGCATCTCCTGCTGTCCAATGTGGAACTCTTTCTAACCTTGTAGTCATTTAAAAAATGGATAAATTGAAGCCCAGATAATTTTTTACTCTATCAATGCTCATTAGCTACTTATTTCCATTTTCCTTCTTTCTATCATATCCTATTCTTCTCTCTTCAGTCAGATTACTTATTAGTAAAATTTAGCTGATTATCAAGTTCAACAGGACTGTTGAGATTACTTGCTTGCTGCTTTTAATTTTTGGCTTGTTTTTCTTTTCTGACAGAGTCTATGAGAAAACCCATTCTGTGTGGCCTTTCTTGGTTCAGAGGAAACCAGACTTCAGGAACCCTCTCTATAAAGGCTTCACTATGTATGGGGTACTCAATCCTAGCACTGTGCCCTACAACATTCAGTAAGTTCCTAAACTATCCCTCTCTTTTCTGTCCCCCAGGGCCTCAGCTGCTTTGCCTCTCCTTATTTAGCTGCCATCATCTCCACAAGCCTGGCTATGGAGTAGGACACTCTTTCCCCAGATCACCCATTCCCTGTTGCCTCTGAAAACAAGACCATGCTCCTTTTGGTTTTCAGGGCTTTGCTGTTAGTCGCTTAGGGAAATAAACAAGAAATAATAGTTGATTTGTACTGATACAAATGGTCAGGATGTAGGTTGTTTCATTACTTTTAGTTTTTCTCTGTATTTTCCTCTTCTTTCCCATTCTTTTCCCCAAAAAAGAGAAGGATAAACAGAAAAATAGAAAGTGCTGGTATTGTTTGCTATACTTTTCTTAAAAAGTGTAAAGTACAGGCTGCTGTGCTCACTGACCACAACTGAATGAGTGCAAGACAGAGCTGAATACATTTATTAACTCTGATAGTTTATTTTGTGTATTCCTTAGGATTTTGTACATGTCAGATCATGCCATCTCTGAATAGAGGTTGTTTTATTTCTTCCTTTCCAATTTGGATGACTGTTATTTTCTTGCCTAATTGCCCTGTCAAGAACTTCCAGTGTTGAATAGAAGTAGTGAAAACAAGCATCCTTGTCCTGTTCCTGATCTTAGGGGCAAAGATTTCTGTCTTTCTCCACTGAGTATAATGTTAGTTATTGTTTTTGTTTGTTTGTTTGTTTGTTTTCTACAAATGACCTCTATCATGTTTAGGACATTCCCTTCTGTTCCTAGTTTGTTGAGTGTTCTTATAATGAAAGGGTATAAGATAATGTCAAATGTTTTTTCTTCATCATGTTGGGATGCAGATAATTGTGTGTTATTTTTTTCCTTAATTCTGTTAATGTGTTGTATTACATAGATTGATTTTTATATGTTGAACCACCTATGCTTTCCTAGGTGCTTTCACTTGGTCATGGTGTATAATCCTCTTAATATGCTGCTGCATTCCACTGACTAGTATATTGTTGAGGACATCTGCATCTGTATTTATAAAGAATATTTATCTGTAGTTTTGTTTTCTTATGATGCCCTTGTCTGGCTTTGGCATCAGGGTAATGGTGACCATATTGAATGACTTAGGAAGTCTTCCTTCCTCTTTTATTTTTTGAAAGAGTTTGAGGAGGATTGTTGTTAATTCTCCTTTAAATGTTTAATAGAATTCACCAGTGAAGCCATCTGGTTCCAGACTTTTCTTTGTTGGGAAGTTTTTCATTACTGAATCAATATCTTTACTTATTATAGGTCTTCAAATTTTTTATTTCTTCTTGTGTCAGTTTTGGTAGTTTGTGTGTTTCTAGAAATTTGTCTGTTTCATCTGTCTAACTTGTTGGCATGCAATTGTTCATGAGATTCTCTCACAGTCTCCTTTATTTCTATAAGGCCAGTAATATGTCCCCACTTTCATTTATGATTTTAGTAATTTGAGACTATTCTTTTTCCTTTTTCCTTTTTTTTGAGGCCAGAATACTTTCCTTTAATATCAGAAACATGCTGTACATAAAGTGGAGAATGCACTTTAAATGATACATTTCTATGGCTTTTAGAGATTTTTGGCATTTTTTCCAGCTTTATTGAAATATAATTGACATATAATGTGTTGTATAAATTTAAGGTGTACAATGTGACGATTTAATACATGTATACATTGTAAAATGTTTGCCATAAGATGAATTAACACATCCTTTACCTCACGTAATTAGCATTTTGTTGTTGCTGCTGTTATGTTAAGAACATTAAAGCTCTAGTCTCGTAGCAAACATATGGAACGATTCACAAATTTGTGTGTTATCGTTTCACAGGGGCCATGCTAATCTTCTCTGTATCATTTGAATTTTAGAATATGTGCTGCTGAAGTGAACACTCTTTTTTCTGAATCAGTTGAACTTTAAGGTTTGTTGAATATGTTGATTTTTACAAAGAACCAACTTTAGTTTTGTTGATTTTCTCTTTTTTTTCTGACCTTTATTTCATTTAGCTCTGTTTTAATCATTATCATTTCCTACCTTCTGCTAACTTTGGGTTTAATTTGCTCTGTTTTGGTTCCATAAGTTATAAAGTTAGGTTATTGATTTGAGATCTTTCTTCTTTTTTAATGTGTGCATTTACAGCTGTAAATTTCCCTCTCACCACTGCTTTCTCTGTATCCCATAAGTTTTGGTGTGTTGTGATTTTGTCTTTATTCATCCCAAAGTATTCTTTTAATTCCATTGTGACTTCTTCTTTGATCCATTAGTTCTTTAAGAGTGTGTTGTTTAATTTCCACGTATTTGTGAATTCTCTAATTTTCCTTCTGTTATTGTAATTGATTTCTAATTTCATCCCATTAAGGTCAAAGAATATACATTGTATGATTTCAGTCTTTTTAAAATTATTAAGACTAGTTTTATGGCATAACATATGTTCTGTCCTGGAGAATGAGGTTTATTTTGCAAATGATGTATATCATTTGAGGAGAATGTGTATTGTGTTGTTAGGTGGACTGTTCTATATATGTCTGTTGGTTCTCCTTGTTATATAATGTTGTTAAGCCCTCTATTTTCTTATTGATCTTCTGCCTCTTGTTCTATTCATTATAGAAAGTGAGATTGAAGTCTCCAGGTGCTACTGTAAAATTTTCTATTTCTCCCTTCAAGTCCATCAATTTTTGCTTCATATATTTTGGGCTTTATTGGTAGGTGCATATGTGTTTATAATTATTATATATTCTTAATGGATTGACTCTTTTATGAATGCATAATGTCCTTCTTTGTCTCTTGTAACAATTTTGTGTGTGTGTGTGTGTGTGTGTGAGGAAGATTAGCCCTGAGCTAACATCCACTGCCAACCCTACTCTTTTGTGCTGAGGAAGATTGGCCCTGAATGAACATCCCTGCCCATCTTCCTCTACTTTATATGTGGGATGCCTCCCACAGCATGGCTTGACAAGTGGTGCAGAGGTCCACACCTGGGATCTGAACTGGTGAACCCTGGGCCACCAAAGTGGAATGTGCAAACTTAACTGCTGCGCCACTGAGCTGGCCCCTCTTGTAACAATTTTTAACTTAAAGTCTATTTTGTCTTTATGAGTATAGCCACACCAGCTCTCTTTTGGTTGCTATTTGCATGGAATATCTTTTTCTATCCATTCAACTTTTTTCACTTTGAGTATAAAGTGAGTCTCTTGAACACAGCATATAGTTAGATCATGTTTTCCATCCATTTTGCCAACTTCTGCCTTTCAATTGGACGATTTAGTCTATTTGCATTTAAAATAATTACTGATAAGGAGCGACTTCTGCCACTTTGCTATTTATTTTCTTTATATCTTATATCTTTTTTGTCCCTTAATTCTCCATTACTACTTACTTTTGTGTTAAATTGATTTTGTTTCCTCTTAAAACCACTTTACTGCAGTATAATTGACATAGAAAAGGCTGTACATATTTATTGTATACAACTTAGTGAGTTTGGAGATAAGTACACACCAGTGAAACCATCACTACAATCCATGCCATAAACATATCCATCCCTTCCAAAGTCACATCATCCATTAAAAAATTTGAAGAACGAGGTCATCTTTAATATTCCTATATTTTACATTGTTCCTTTTCAGTTTAAACATGTACTTCTTTAAAATGATTTTTAAGTGTATTATGTTGATTCCCTTCTTTTTTCCTTTTCTGTATATTTTTTAGTTATTTTCTTAGTGATTACCCTGAGGGTTACAATTATCATCTTAAATTCATAACACTCTAGTTTCAATTAATACCAACTTTGCATCAATAATATACAAAACCTCTGCTCTTATACAGCTCCATTCCCCTCTTTATGTTATTGTTATCACAAATTACATTCTTGCACATTGTGTGCCCATTAGCAAGACCTATAATTATTGTTTTTGAGATTTTTTTTAAGGAAGAAAAGAAGAATTACAAACCAAAAATACAATAATTCTGGCTTTATATTTACCTAATTAGTTACCTTTACTGGTATTCTTTATTTCTTTTATGGCTTACACTTAATATATAGTGTCTTTTCATTTCAGCCTGAAGGTCACCTTGTAGTTCTTTCTTAGGGCAAGTCTTTAATGATTAACTCCTTCAGCTCTTGTTTATCTGGGAATATCTGAATTTCTCCCTCATTTTTGGAGGATAATTCTGCCAGATGTCTAATTCTTGGTTGAGAATTTTTTCTTTTAGCACGTTAAATATGCTATCCCCCTGCCTTCTAGCCTCTGTGGTTTCCAGTGGGAAATCATCTGTTAATCTTATTGAGGATCCATTGTATGTGGTGAGTAGCTTCTGTCTTGTTGCTTTCAAGATTCTCCGTCTTTTGGGGCTGGCCCCATGGCCGAGTGATTAAGTTCACGCCTTCCCTTTCGGTGGCCCAGAGGTTGACCAGTTTGGATCTTGGACATGGTCATCAAGCCATGCTGAGCAGTGTCTCACATAGCTCAACTAGAAGGACCTACAACTAGAATATACAACTATGTACTGGGGAGCTTTGAGGAGAAGAAAAAAAAGAGGAAGATGGGCAATAGATGTTAGCTCAGGGACAATCTTAAAAAAAGTTAAAAATGATTCTCTGTCTTTTGATGTTTGATTATAATATGTCTCATTGTGGATCTCTTTGAATTCAGCCTACTTGGAGTTTATTGAGGTATGGATTCATATCTTTCATCTAATTTAGGATGTTTTTGGCCTTTATGTCTTCAAATATTCTTTCTTCTCCTTTCTATCTCTTCTATCCTGAGACTGCCATTGTGTGTGTATTGGTATGCTTGATGTTCTCTCACAGGTCCCTTAGACTCTGTTCACTTTTCATCATTGTTTTTTTCTTTCTGCCCCTGAGAGTGGATGATCTCGATGGACCTATCTTCAAGTTAATTAATTCATTCTTCTGCCTGCTCAAATCTGTTGAATGCCCCTAGTTAATTTTTCATTCTACTTATTGCACTTTTCCTCTCCAAAATTTCTATTTGGTTCCTTTTTATAATTTTTGTCTCTTTATTGATATTTGTTTTTTGATGATATTTCATTCCCCTGGTTCCCTTTATTTCTTTGAGCTATTTAAGACAGTTGATTTAAAGTCTGCCTAGTAAGACCAGTGTCTTGGCTTTCTCATGAACAGCTTCTATTAATTTCTTATTCCTATGAATGGGCTATACTTTCTTGTTTCTTCCCATGCCTCATAAGTTTTGGTTGAAAACTGGACAGTTTGAATATTATAATATGATAATTCTGGAAACCAGATTCTCCCCCCTCTTTAGGGTTTGTTGTTACTACTTGTTGTGGGTTGTAGTAGTTTGATTAGTGACTTTTTCTAAACTATTTTTGTCAAGATTGTACTCTTTGTCATGTGTGGTGACTGAATTCTCTTTCGATTTGCTTAGTGATCAGCTTGTGATTTCACAGAGATCTCCTTAAATTCCAAAAAATAACAGTATTCTCCTTTCTTTACAGATTGGCTTTGTGTTGGTATATACCATCAATGCTTAGTCATTTATAATTCTCACTTAGCCTTTACTTTCTGCTTCCGCAGAGCCTAAAAGTCAGCCACAGATGAAACCTTAGGGTCTTCTCTGGTCTACTCTGATCATGTGTCCAGCCCTGGGTATGTACCTGGCCTACCTTCTCTGGTATATACAGATTTTCAGTATCCTTATTTTCCCATGTATCTCTTTCCCAAGCCTCTTTCTTCCCAAGCCTCTTCCTTCCCAGACTTTTCAATCTGTCTGTTGCTTGCCCCATCTATTATCCCTTACCTCAGGTGGCTGTTGGTAGTACATTTGCCTGTGCATACTTTTGACATTGTCTGGAAGGCTACTCCAGTGCTGAGAAAGTCCTGAGGTCAGGAAAACAAGCCCCTGAGCCCATCACTCACGTAGCTACCAGAGAGGTCAAAATATACAATCATTGTATTTTGGGAACAAGGTCTGTATTTCTCCCTCTAGCACTGGACAGCCACGTTAGTAATGTGAATTGCCATCCCCAAAGGTTCTGCTAAGCTGGGGAGTGAAGGATGGCAAGCATGTAAGTCAAAATGTTGTAAAAGTTTCCTACCAAAATTTAGCAGCTTCTTTTTTCCTTAAATATTCCACTTGTTGCTGTAAGTTTTTCATTAGATTCTGAAGTTTCAAAAAAGTTGATTATTACAGTTTTTGCCTGCTTAATCATTGCTTTAGTGAAGGGACAGAGTTTTGGAGACTCCCACTCCACCATTTGCAGTGATGTCACCAATGATTGGTATTTTTTGTTGCCACAATTATTCTTAGCTTTGTATATTCCAAATGACAATTTCTCAGTGAAGTGATGCTAGTTTATAAGTGCTTCTTGATAACTATAGTGCCAGAATTTCTCCTGTGTTTCTTTAAGAAGTAAAAACCAGATCAAGGGCAGGATGTAGTAGACATATTTGTCCATACTCCTCCCACTAAGTACAACTTACACCCCTGGGCATTATGAAACTAACATTAAACCACTATGACAGTTGGAAAGAAAAAGGAAGACTGACTAAGGTACACAGGACTAAAGGAATAACATGATGGTGATTTCCATGGGTTTTCTTGTTGCTTTGTACATCCCAGACTTGGAGTTGAAGAGGCTGGCAACCCAGAAACATCAAGGAGACAGAAAAAAAAAGCCATAAGAGAAGCCTGCTTTCTCTAGCCAAAGGACCAGGAAAGGGGCAGCCTAATGAGACAGAAACGTTTTAGACAATAACTGCTCTCCTACAGTCATACACTACAGAAGTAAACTGTGGCCCCACACAGCCAGCAAAGGCCAAGTAGGAAGCCTAGATTTCTACCCTCACCAAGCTGTAGCAAAGCACCCAAACACCCCTACATCTTCTCACCCAGGATGGTGTCAGAGAAGGTCAAAT